AACCGGTCACCTTACGCTTCATTGGACATTTCATTTTTACTTCCTACTCTTCCTTAACCGTTCGATAAGGCTCTAAGTGCAAACTGTTGAAAAGATAGAATAAAAAAATTCTATCGCGTTTCGTGTGCAGAGAATGTCCCTAGGAGATATCGAGTACGTCGGAACTAATTTCGCGCGATTATATCGATATTGGAGCAGTTTGAAGTTAAAAGAGGATGTATAAACGATTCAATGGTCTATTTAGTTTAGTCAAGATGAATATAGATTTTTATAATCCTCTACTAAAAATAATCACTTCGTTGGAATTTATCGTAACACTCCTGTAAGCGAGTTTTACTACATCTCGAATCACCCTCGTATAATTATTGTTGCAAAAATATTTGTGCTCTTAAAGAATGCTTTGGATAAACATCAGGAAAGTATAAAGAGTCTACGGTGTTATTTCTGATGAAGCCCGCATTAAAAAAACACAGAATATATTTCGTTGATTTATTCAAGTCAAGGCGAAATAACAGCAAAATGGCATTGTTGTGTTCGTATTGATAACGAATCTACGTTTGTGATAAGCCGCAACGATTGCGATAACTTCAAATTGGTTAATTTGGTGGATGGCACAGTCGCCTCAAAGTCTGCTATGTACGTACGAAAATCATTTTAATAAAACAGCGCATCACATAAAAATTTCAACTAATTATTAATTGGTTATTTATCAACAACCCAATTTGTTTTTTGTTGTATCTATTGGTATACTCTCGAGTCCGCAAATTTGAATACAAGTAGTGTACATATTGGGTTTTTCTACACTTTTATCATTTCTCACAAATTTAATTTACCCAAATTAAGCGGTGCAAACGGCGGTAATATCGCGATTCGAGTACAATTTAACGGACTTTTGAACAGCTAGCCTACAAATTTCAACCGGTATGGATTACGTAGGAACACGTAGGCAAGTTGAAGCCAGATAAGTGCGGGGTTTTCAGTATAAAAACAAAATAAATTTCCACTACCGCTGATACGGCTTTTAAATGTCTGATTAGCGCTACTGATATTTACAGATGAATAATAGTGTTATCCAATATGATAAAATTAAAATTGTACAGAAACTACCACAATGCTTTGATAAAATGTTTGAAAGGAGATACGGATTAGTATTTTAATTAGCTTTTAAAACGTTTAGCCAGTTAAATGTTTAACTGATGAAACTAAAAACTGCTCTATTATCTAAGTAGAAAATTTAAGTGTAACCAACTTTTCATTAATCAACAGCAAAGTGACGCCGGTTATCGGAAAGCAATAGTTCTTCCCTATCGAATCGAGATTCTTTTCGTCCGTTAAAAAGTTAAAACCGAACCGACCGACCCACAATATGTGCGCCTGTATGTTTCTGATGGATGGATTCTTATCGAGCCAACGTGAATTATATTTACTTTTATCTAGAGACGGAAATAGAAAAGCTTAGCCGAGTAGTCGTTCGTGGAGGTACCAGCATCTGATAGTTTAGCCCGTTATCAACGCTATCGCATCACTTTCTGCTATTTTCCGGCCCTGCCAGATTATCCTCGCCCGATTAGGAAAATCCATAAAAGGGGTCACCATCATTCAACGAGGATGTATACATATATCTCTATGGTAAAAAAATAATTGAAATAAAAATTTGTACGAGCGAATCAAAATTTTTGTTAAAAAAGAAACTCTAGATAAAATATAAAAAATCGTTTAATATGAATAGTTTATTCAATTATTCAATTAATAGAATAAAGAAACGGGACACTAGCCACTAATCTTTTACCATTAAAGTCACCAGAAAATATAAGAAACATTAAAAACTGTGAAGTAGTGTAACATATAAAAATATTAGATAACAGTTAGGCAATAAAACCTGTTAATTTTTGCTTTGAATACCAGGTTTAATAGCATCTTCATTCATTTAATTTAGACGGGAATATGCGCTCTCATGTGAGAGAAGAAAACAAACGGTAGCAGAACATAATAACACCCTTTAATCTCCACATCGGCGATTACGTACGTTGAAAACCTACCTGTAATTACAGCGAATTATCGTATCGCAAACTTACCTTGTTCAGAGATCAATCACTCGTTTTTAAAATATGAGGATTGTCGGATCGTGCGCTCATTTGCCTAATAAACCCTCGAACGATTCGAGAAAATTGTCGATATTTATTTTATAATTCAATGAATTTCTACTCTAAATTGCTCAACTACACAATAAGACCGCCCTTTTATAGACCATTCGAACAGCTATCACCTGTAAAATAATAATTAATGTCGCGCATTAATAAATAAAATCAGTATATAACACGAATCGAGGGTATTATGTATTGCAGCAGTATTGAAAATGGCGGTAAAACGCGGGGGTAATACGATATCGCACACTATTATAAATGAACGTCGGCGTTGGTGTTGGTGAGCGATAGCGTCGCGACGACTCGTTAGCCAGTTGAAGTTTAATGAAAACATACGAAATATATTCAATTTGTGTGATACTGATAAGGATTGACCAATACTGATGACAGTTCCAAACCGTTCGCGTTTTCCACGTATAAAAACCCTCATTTATAGGGACTGGAGTAGAAAAATTTATGTACAACATTATGCTGGATTTGATTGCGAGTAATAAAACAATAAATTTAGGTAGGTATAAGTAAACCAATTTTTTAATACGAAGAAAAGAGCTATTTATAAATGTTGTACATACGCCATTCGTTCGGCGTTTTTGCACTAAAGAGTTTTATCAACTGTTATCTGCAGTGAACCCCACAGCTTAGGTAATATCCATACAATGTCACGCATACTCACAATGCTATTGCTTATTAATGAGATATCCGGAGAGAATATACAAGATTGCCGTAGAAATGCGTTTGTAACAGGTAAGTAATGATTACCAGTTGCTTGTATATGGACGCGAGACCTTATCGTTACATCGAAAGCGTCGGCAAATTTGTTTCGTGGCATTTAACATAAAGTAAACCCGGAGGCGGTACGGTTTTCCTTTTCCCATTTGCATCCAAACGCCGAACGAAGTGACCAACAAACAGAGAAAGCCATCCGCGGCGGAAGTCTTAACCTTAACCATATTCCATAGGCGGTTCTCGGGGTTTCTACCACCCTAATCTTCAAGAATATCATATGTGTACCTAATACATACTCAGAAAATTAGGTATATGTATAGGTCAGTGCGCGACGATGGGAATGAACATGAGAGTAACACAAGTGGGTGTAAGAGAGTGTATTTGACCATTGTAAAGGACTGAGATGGTAGGTATTATAACTCAACGTATATTTGCTCGTGTTTTCAAATTGTTCAGGACTGTTTTAGAATCATATTCTTCGAATCCATTTAGAAATTTTCATCATTTAGAACCATATTAGAACCTATTAGAATTGGTTAGAACCCTTTGGAAACTAGTTAATAGAACCATTTGAAATAATTCAGTATGATGGCCAGGGCCAATTGAATGATGATTCCATTCATGATGATCTTAGAACCATTTAGAACTGTCTAAAATCAATTTGAACATATTCAAGACTATTTGGAACAATTCAACATAAACTAGAAAAGTCCAGAACCATTTAGAGCGCTTTTAGAACAATAATGAACTTTTATTTAGAGGTTTTAGAAGACTATTTAGAAATCATCAATTGAAAAATTGACTGGTACAATCACCTGATAAGTCGACAAATTTAGTCAAAATATGCATGATGAAATTCACTGACTAGATACAGGTAACCCATATTGTACCCGAGCATCCTTATATTCAGCGAGAGAATGTTGTGAATTAAATTTCTTGTACTATTGGATAATTCGTTACATTTAAGGAAAAAAACTAATTTACAATCATTCAACGGGTATACAATTATTGGAATCGCTGTTCTTGCTAGGTTGATACTTAATTGCCTAAGGAATGAAAAATTGAGCCGCCGTTTTAACAGCAACCACACAGATTTTGGACGAGTTTTATCTTGCCCGTCTATTAGTTCAACAACTCCGAATAACAATCCGACGATAAATTAGGTAGATAACGAATGAATACGAATGAAAAAGTAGGTATATGTTAATCAGTTAAAAGAAGCAGCACCAGATGATGGAATGTCCATATACAGATGGTAATCGCACGTCAACTTGTAAATAATGCTTCATTTATAAGAGGTGTAAATGGTGGACGTGCCAAAAAAGAGCTTTTGTACGATATATTTTTCATCGGCGTGATTTAAAGACCAATTATTTTTTGGTTTATTTTAGGATTCTGATGATGAAAGCGACTAATTATTTTACATATTTGGCTCCGTTCTTTCAACACTTGTAGATCAAAAGATGATAAAAAGTCTAAGTGTGCAATTAGAATAAAAAATATTCGATTTTATAAAATTAATCAAGCGTTATTATATCTAGGTAAAAAAATAAAATCATATAACCTAATCGGTAACGAAGGCTATTAAACGAACATAAGAATTTATATGTTCTTTGTTACCTGTTGGATTATCGCATGTACAACTCGAATTGAATAAGAATTCATAATTACTCATATAAGAAATTTCACGAAACTTTAGAACATTATGCACATAGAAAGGTTACGGTTTATAAAAACGAATACCGCGTAGATAATTGTAATTAAGTGAATAAATAATCTAAAAAAATGTACAATACTACATAGTAAAAGGTGAATAAGTGTTTTTACGCGTTTTTACAATAGAAACATCTTAACCTTATTCCCAAAAATTTATTAATATTGTTGTTACACACGTTTCTTAATTAATGTTGGGCCAATATTATACGTTTTTATGTTATCATTAATTTTGTCTAAAAGCTTTTTTTCGTTCTCTAATTACATACAAGTTAATTCATTTTTCTTTCTTGAAAAGTAAGTTAATTATTGCTTGTAATTAATTAAAAATCGCTATACATTCAAACGAAGAAATTAAATATGTAGTTAAATTAGGTACCTATTTCGAATAAATAAAAATATCACAAAATCACTCACCTTTTTCAGTATTGTGCTCTTCCAACGGCGGTTTGTCGTGCGAATCACCTGCAACGAAAATTCAACTTATTAGTTTTCCCAATTAACCGCTCGAAGCGAAAATACTATTGCATCTATTTTATGATAAGTAGTAAACTTGATATTTGATGAAAGAAATTCGACGACGGAATTTTAACAATGATCTTGATTTTAATCGTTTACCAGTTGCTACGACAGAAGGTTTATCGTTATTTTTTTTTTCAAAATTCTATCTTGAATCGAGCTGAGAAACAGATGGTGCCTTTTCTGATGGTTTATCAGCTTTGTATATAATAAGTTGTGTAGGGGGCTCTTGCCAGGTTTAATCGGATGTATAACAAATAGATCCAACACGTATTACTATGTGATTACTTAAAAATGATAAAAAATAGTCTGTAGGCAACTAATATAGGATATGTAATAAATAGTCGTTATAAAAATAAATGTAGTACCTATAATAGTACATTCACAACAATCTAATGATGATATCAGTCAGTCAAATATTGCAATATGTTGCAATACATTATTTCGATATTTTCAGACAATTATTTAAACTACTAATAAAGTAACTTCTAATAAAACTAATGGTATATTGATTTAGTAATAAAAACATATTTTTTATTTGTAAATAGTATTGGTAGTTTCCTCTGTATAATAAATTTCGCATTCAAAAAACATATTTCCCTCATAAGAAATATACATAATAGTACATTAACATGATTCGAATTTTTCCCATTAAATTCTTTCCGATAAGATCTGAAAACCGTCCGTAGCCATATAAAAATAAGCTTCGATGTGAGAAACCATATGGCGGATATGGGTGGTGGATTTTTCAAAGAATTTTTTTAATCGATATATATTCTCCGTATATTAGGGAATCGATAACGAATTTTTGTACGTATAAGGCAGACACTCCTTCCTATTGGCATTAACTGCCAATCTATACCTATAAAAGTCGCTATAATAATTTCAAAATTGTGCATAGTTTTTTCACTAAATTATACTGTAACAAAAGCAACACTAATCTTTTTAGAAACCACTTATTTTTGGCAACAAATATTGTTTTGAGTAAACCTGGTCAACAAGCGTTTGTCTAATTTTAAAAAATGGTGCAGTATATTGGCTACTCTATCCTATATTGGCCTGCAGATATAGATTTACATGATGGTTCGGATAAGAAACTAGACGTTTCATTCAGTATTCAATTGGCTTGTCTATACTAATTGCTTTAAGAACAAAGAGCTGAATTGTTGTGTACCCTTTCCTTCATTTCCTACAGTTTTTCTTCTTGCCTCTAATTTGTAAAATGGAAGAAAAATATTATGAAAATAACACTTCAGTAAGTATCACAATAAGAAAAAAATAATATCCTAACGTATATAAAATGAATCATCACGCATGTACAGGGAATCTTCCTAATTTTCTAACATTTACTCCTATAACAACTGACTCACTCTACGCCACATTCACAACAGAAATATGTCACTACAAGGCACCCCCGATGGCGTAATAATTGATATTTTTCCCAGATCATCGTCGTCATCATCGATAGAGGCGATTTCATAAGCGGCATCAGGCGTGATTGAATCGCAGCGGTCGTTCCTTTCTTCGCCAGCGATATCAAATTGAATTCGAACCGAGGATTGCTGTTCACGCTGCGACTTCCCCTTTGTTTTCGTACCTTTTGGACGTCTTATCGCCGGCACAACATCGGTCCAGTCACTTCGGATCATAACTCGACGAACATTGCGGTGGAACCGCTTAGCAAGTGGGCAAAAAGGGCGGTCTATGAGTTATTGTAATTCCCGATGATTACAACGCAGAATGTGATTTAATTAGTTGAATCGGAGTCATATCGAAACCAGGTGTTGTTTGTTGTTGTGATTTTTCGACCAGCGCTGGTAGGTAAAATATGCGTTGTGCGTACGAGGGCGCGATGGAAAGTTGCGGTCTGATCGAAATAAGTAAATAAGTGTATAAGTAGAACGAACTTAAACGAGTTCCACAAGGTCTAGAATCCGATACGAGACAAATTTTTAGAAATCGCCTGACCAATCTCGACGTTGAATCTCACAGTAATACATTCCCATGGTGACCAGCCCGCCTTCTTTGTCTTCGACCATGCTTGCGGACCACACCAGGCAATTTTCTACGATAATCCTGATATTTTATACGTTCCTAGTTCGGAATAAAATCGACGAGCCTGTTAAGAACAAAGTAACAGATATTGGTTTACTATTATTTACCAACGTTATCGCGAAGATATGAAGGACTTAAAACGCGTTTCGCAGCATTCACATTATCTCGACTCGGTTTTCAAAAAAAGAAAGTAAAATGTAAAAAGGCAAAAATTATTATGGAAACGGCGATTCAGAAAGGAGCGGGTAATTATTTCGCGCCCCTTTTTCTTTCTCGCCCGAGCGTCGGTGTGCACCTGGGAAGTAAGTGATATTTTATACTTATCAAGGAGATATGGAGTAGTGGAATTTTTACATAAAATTTTCCGGTACAGTTTTCCATTAATCTCGGATTTTTATCTTAATTATTATTAGTTCCAACTTAGCCGAGTTTTTAAAAACGCCCGATCGCTATCCGACGCCTTATCTAATTTAGATGTTTGTTCCTTTTTGCGAGTTAAATGGCCCGAGGTGGTGCGAACGGCTCACCGTCGTCCTGGCATATTTATTGCCAGTTTCTTAAAATAAATAACAATCATTCTCGTTAGAGTGGAACACAAAGAGAATACACTCTTATTTTCTTTTAACAGGCGTTGAAAAACTCTTTCACACTACTTGAATAATTAAGTGGCCAGCTAATTAATAGATTAGGTAATGCTTGTCTACAATGCTACCATACAGGATATGTTTCATTGCCAAGGAGCCTAAATTTTGATGTGGATGGATAGGTTACAAGTAGTTAATATTTACCAATTCAAATGAGCATGAGCAAGTGCAAATGGAAATTACCATAATTAAAACATGCCAGAAATGGATGAGCAGGTACTCTGGCATGGTCTTAATTAGTTTTAATTATCACCTGCACTTGCTCATTCTGGCATTTTTAATTAAGTTTAATTAGGACTTGAACTTGCTCATGCTCATTTGGACTGGTAATTATTAACTACTATACTCTAATTCCAAAATAGTAGTCTAAATTCTCAAAAATGATTGTGAAGTTTCCGTTATTAGTTAGCCGTTATTCTATGGCTATTTAGCAGCTTGTAAATTATTTAAATAGAAGATGCTTAAATATCTAGAATCACAACCTGACACAATGTTTCCGTCTTAAATAATATTTCCGAGAATTTAGTGTCTACTATTTTGGAATTAGAGTATAGTACACATTTTTTATGGATTATTCTTTAATTTTGTATGTTTTCACCCTTTCTATTTCTATTATGCCTGTGTTCCAAATTCTAAATGTGGTAAAAAAGCAAAAATGTAATCTAGAAGAAGTATCAAAATATTATTAAGTGAACATTTCAGAGAAATTAGATAAACTACAGTTATCGACGAAATTTAACAAATCATCTAATAGCGTTTTTAAAAGGCCATAACGCCTAATTAACAAAAAACGAAAAAAAAGCAATAAATTACCCATTAAGATAACAGATTCATAGACGTTGATAGACAATCGCATAATTGAAGAGAATCCCAATGTTTCGATAAAAAACAGTACACCGAATAGAATAGCCTCAGATCGTAATCATTCTCAAAAAAAAACTAAATTAAAAAAGGATATTACGAAATTAATACGACTGAATTATTGTTATTAATACGAAATAAATTCTTTCCGGTTTGTGTATGTTCCAATTCGACGAAAACTGATAAACAGTTTGTTTTAATTTACGATCGGAATTCATAAAAATATACGGGTTCATATATTTTACATAAATTAAGTTAATAACTTCATAATATGTATCATTATAATAAATTCAGAAATATCTACTTACAAAGTGATCGACGCACTGATAGGCACGCATGGAAAACCAGATCAATTTCGATTAACTTTAATGGTATAAATATAAATGCGAACGAAATGCGGAATGGATGTATTAATAAGTTATTAAAGGAAGAAATTCTATTCCGTATTTATACTATATTGAGCACACACACAAACACGAAATTAAGTGGAAATTTCCCTTTTTTTGTTTAGGTAAAGTAACGATTAAGCACTGAGTGGAAGGACTGAGTAAATACTTTTATAATGCTAAATTTAAAAAGAAATTGGCCAAATCAGTGACAAAAACGGTTACAATCAAAGGAGAATATGAAGAGGAAGAATACAGTATATGAATAAAAGGAAGCGTTCGTAAAGCTTTGCAAAATTGAAGATTAATGAAGGATAACTAAAAATGAAATCAAACACCAGAATTGTTATACATTAGCACTACCACCAAACCTACTATCGAAATATCACCATTTATATGAAGAAAATGATAAAATTCAACCATGAAGAAAAACAATCAAACTTGCACGATGCAAATGTATAGAAGAAAATATCGAGCGTACGAAACAAATGCGATCGGAAAGGATCTCCATTCGATATTCGTAAAGCCCATTTCGTTTTAATCACGACAACGGAATCGTCGAGAATATCAATAACGGGCAACCCTTCCGGTATCGAAATCAAACGTCCACGGCGAGAGAGAAATGGAAAGAACGCGGATCGGCGGTCAATTCGTACAGCCGAATCTGAGAGAGCGGTACAGCATCATAATATGTAGCAGTTTGGAAAACAGGCGATGCAAACGAGCTGCACGCGGATTTTGATTCAAGATATACGCCGGCCGTCGTCTCTCCAGCGGACCAGATTCGGCTCTGTGCATTATCCACACACATACACACACGTATATGTACAGGGATTGGAGGAGGACGTCGATGGCGATGGCGACGCCGCCGGCCTTCGGGCAGGAAATGAGACTCTGGACGCAATCGCTTTTACTTATCTGCATAGAATATAACCGGCCCGCTGCTTCTGCTTTCAATTTATTTTAATAAATCTGAGGAAATACATCAGCGCATCAGCCA